AAGAAGTACTACAGGAAGTTATTAAAAAAGGAAACAGCAACAGACAACAATCTGAAACAAATGCCAACATCTTTCAGAAATCAACCAAGATACAATTACAGTTAGCAAAACGAACCTATGAGAACCAGAGGCAGCAGTCAGAGAGAACAAGAGATACAGCCTTAGTAGTGCTCACCAGTCTGCACCAGCAAGTTTGGAGGACAGCTGCTAGGCTGACTGACTGCAAGAAATCCATATTTGTTCCCATTCTCAAGAAGGGCGATCCAATAGGATGTAGAAATTTTTTAACAGTATCATTATTATCAAATTGCAAGCAAAATAATGCTTAAGTTTGTCAAAAAAATAGCTAGAGCAATAAATTGACAGGGAACTACCAGAAATTCAAAACTGGATTTAGAAGAGACCATGGCACCAGAGATATCATTGCTAATGTCAGATTGATTCTGTCTGAAAGCAGGAGAATATAGATCATTAACAAACTATAGATAACACTGAGGAGAATGAGAGTCCCTGAACACTTTATTATGCTTATATGAAACCAAGAGTATATATGCCAAGAAGCTGTTGTCCAAACAGAGCAAAAAAAAAAAAACACTGCATGGTTTAAAATCAGGAAAGGTATGTGCCAGAGCTGTGTGTCCTTTCTCCACACCTACTCAATCACTAGACTGAGCAAGTCATTAGAGAAGTAGAAGAATGTGGGATCAGGATAGGAGAAAGACTCATCAACAACCTGCGTTGTGCAGATGAGACAATGCTGCTTGCAGAAATTAAGGACTTTAAATGCTTACTGCAGAATATCAAAGACTACAGCCTTCCATATGGATTGTATCTCAAAATTAAGAAGACAAAAATCACCATAAGCAGGGGAGCTCTGGTGGCCTAGGGGTAAGGAGCTGCAACTACAATCCCAGAGGCGCACGGTTCGAATCCACCAGATGCTCTGCTGGGGACGGAGGGACAATCTCCTCCTGTACCAGTCAGATCTGATTTGACGGTACACGCACACAAAAAGAATTAAAAAAATTTAAAAAAAAAAATCACCGTAAGCAACATCTTGATAGATGGAGTAAAGATTGAAGTTGTCAATGATTTTTTCTTACTTGGATCAATACTCTTGGTATCAGCAATGAGGAGCTCAGGAGACATACTGCATTGGGAAAGACTACTGTCTCCAAATTACTGAGGACTAATGATATCGTTTGAAGACTAAAGTATGCCTGATTCAGGCCATGGTCTTTTTAATCACTTGCTATGCATCTGAGAGCTGGACAATGAATAAGGATGACAGAAGAAGAATTGAAGCCTTTAAGCTGTAGTGTTGGAGAGAAACAGTGACTATCCCATGGACTGCCAAAAGAACAAAAAGATCTTGGGAAAAATGCAGCCAGAGTGCTCTTTGGAGGCAAGGATGGTGAAGCTTCATCTCACATACTTTGGTCATGTTTCTAGGAGAGGCAATTCATTGGAAGAGAACTCATGTTTGGAAAGGTGGAAGGTTAGCAAAAGAGAAGACCTTTAATGAGACAGACTGAGAACAGTAAGTGACTGCAGCAATGGGCTGAGTGTGTCAGATGATGATGACACAGGAAAGGGTCACTATGACTCATCCGTGATGACACCTAGTAACGAGGACAACAGAGCTTAAAGAGCAAATAATGAAGTTAGAGAACTTCCAAAAGGAGAGGAACCCAAGAGAGAGTGCATTATTTCAGAATAAAATAGAAACTTGGATGGTAACCTCCAAGAAGATAAAGGAAGAAACTGTAAAAATAGCAATGAAGTAAATGAAAAGCCAGATACAAAATGAACTAAAGACAAAGTATACAGAACAAAAGAATCAGCAAACCTCAAAATATATTTAAGCAAAAAATACCAGTAAGTTTAAACTCATGGAAAAATGAATTAAATTAAAAATGCAGAATGTTGCCAGAGAACATGTCTGGTTGTCACTTTCAAAGATTCACTCACTCCTTGCTGTCAAGCTGGAATCAACACACAGCTGGAAACTGCCATGGGAGGAGATTGCCCAGCTTCTTTTTCTCCCACGAAAACGCTGGCCAGTTAAACCTACCAGGGTTAGCTGCACAATTCCCAATGGACTAGGTCAGCAAAAGTGTCCATTTGAAAATGATGCTGAAAATTCTTTCACAATGCTGAGAAGTTCTGAATATATCAAACCTGACCACTTGCTCAGAATATGTTATGAAATACTTCTCAGTGTGCCTCCTTTAGAAAAACAAAGAATTTTATTTTACTGCATTTCCACCCTTAAGACACGTCTCATAAAGTCCTAGGATTAGGCCTGGAAAGAAGAAGATTCGCAGCCATGCAATTACAAAATGAGCATCATTTGAAATATGGCATGGCTTTGAGACTCACAGATCCGTAAAAATATTAGAGATAAATCTCATCATTTTCAAAGCTGCTTCTTACGTGTGGGCTTGATCTTTAAAGGTTATTTGGTTTTCATTATTAGAGACATTTTTCATCTTATTTTGCCTTTCGGTGTGTTGAGCTGTTAGGCCCTGCCACCTAGTGGGGAATGTTCAGTTAGATAATGTTAGCATGTAGCACTGACTTCATAAAATTTAAAAAAATACCAGATAGGTCTTCCCTCCAAATCTCCTTTCAGGAAGGGAGATCTGTCCCTTTGAGAATGTAACTCAAGTAAATTTATCATCACTCTTTTATCCTAAAAAAAAAAAAAAAAACAAAACCAAATACCCCAGATAGCCAAGTCATACAGAAGTCACAAAGATCAAACTCGTGGCGAAAGTCTGCTTGTTATTATTACTTCTCGACAAGGTAACTCCTGCAAGGCAGTAGCTCCAACCTTCATAGGTTAGACCTGATTGACTTCAGTAATTACTAGACCTATAAGCATTTTAACCAACTTCAAATTTGGGAGCAACCATCTAAAGTGCTATGACTAGTCCAGACCAAAGAAGGAGGTGAGAAGCAAAGACACATATAGAAGCAGTCAGTCCAAAGCACTAAGAGAACACACAAATTTCAGCCTTCATGACCAGAAGAACTAGATGGTGCCCTGCGACCACTGCAGATTGCTCTAAAAGGGACCACGTTAGAAGGGAAAGCGGAGAGTGGGTGAGTGTGTGCAATAAAATTCAAAACCACTGAAATGATCACGCTTTCTGGTCCAATAGAGTGGTGGAACCCCCAAGACTTTGGCCGTTAGTCATCTTTAAAACCTGTCACAAAACACATACCCATGACTCAACTTACAGCCAAATAAGAGGCAGGCCAGGAAGGTGGCCAGTAACTCCAAGGAGACCCTCAATTGTCAGCATAATCAGCCACATAAGAATAAAAGGGTAGCATGTGCTCAGGGATAAATCTCAGAAAGCAAGAAGGGGTAGGATACAAGGATTAGTGGAAACAAGAATCACAGGGAAGAAGAAGAAAGAGTGTGATTATATGTTGAACATTGTAATTAATGCTCTAAAACAAAATATAAATAGCTGATTGGAAAACCAAATTGCTCCATTAATTTTCACTTAAATCAGTTGTTTTTATATGCCATCAAGTCACCTGCGGCTCACAGCAACCCTATGTATAACAGCCCTAAACCCTGTTCTGTCCCAGTACCAATCCTATTGTCTCTGACACACATATCTCCATTATTCCAGTCAATCAATCAATCCACCTTATCGAGGGTCTTCCTCTCCTGTATGATGTCTCTCTCCAAGGACTGATCCTGCCTTGTAACATGTCCAAAGTATGTCAGGCGAAGCTTCAGAATTCTTGCCTCCAAGGAGCAGCCTGGTTTCGCCCTCTCCAGGACGGACTTGTTTGTTCTCCTAGCAGTCCATGGTATATTCATACTCTTCTCCAGCACCACAGCTCAAAGGCATCAACTCTCCTTCTATCATCCCTAGTCAATATCCAGCTTTCTGATGCATAGCAAGAAACTGCAAAGTCCATGGCCTGTATCAGGCTCACCTTAGTCTCCAGACTGACATCACTACTCTTCAGTATGAAGAGTATGAAGTATAAATGACAGTAAGTAGCTAAACATTTAAAAAGCTCCAATCACTCAAAATTATCTTACTCTGAAACTTTTGGCTAGATAAAGATACTGAAACTCAATCATTGTAAGCGGTAATTAGAGACCAAACAGTAATAATCTGGAAAAATATTCTCAATACTGCCAAGTAAAAAGGCAGACACAAACATTCTGACTTAACCTGAGGGACATTCCGACTGCATATACAGACAAAGAACAGAAACAAATTCATGGCGATTTAAAGAGCATGGAAAGGCAGCACAGCCCCGGCTGGTTACATTCAGCAGATGCCTTGTACTCAGAAACAAACCCAAACTCCTGGCTGCTGAGTGGAATCCATTTCACAGCAATGTCCCACTGGTCTCGGAAGACACTATCTGTTAATGACGAAGTGAGCCTTCATGGCTCTTACAAATTGCTTTGCCATTCCCTCCGCAAGGAAACTATGTTGGTGGCTTCAGTCTTCAAAAACTCTACAAAGATTTTACCAAGATATGGTTGGGGTGGTGATATATTGGAGAGGGTAAGGTTGCCAAACATAAAAACATCTTAGAAATTCACACTGCACAGTGGCATATAACGTGTCCCCAGGACTCCTACAGTGAAACAAGCTCCCTTGAAACTTATTTGACACCTATTAACTTTAGCACACAGGGGCAGAGTTAGAGGAGGCAGAGGGGTCTCATATACCTCAGGTCCCGTCTATAGGAGAACCACAAAAGAGCCATGTCAGCAGCAAGGAGTCAAGAGGGGACCACTTGTCCACAGGCACCATCAGGACACACTTTCAGGGATCCCACAGTGAGAGTGGGGACATTTCTAACACATTTTCCACTATTATTCCACTTCGAGACGCTATTGTTCTGTGTGAAGCAGCAGCTGCACTCTGAAGTAACTATAGACAGCTGCAGCCCCCTCTGTACAGGAGTCTTTGGAGATGCATATGAGAGGCCCGTGCTTCTCCAGAACGTACCATCTCTTATCATAGTAGAGTTTGCCGTCTTCTATCCGAGCTTCAAATCTCTGGGCTGGAGACTCTGCAGGTGTGGCAGGCAAGTGTTCAGGAGAGGATGGGGACGCTGGAGGAACCAGAGAGGTATTTCAAGGATGAATGCACACTTTAGCTCAAATGCTACTAGGAGTAAATAACTGTGATTGTGGGCCCAAGTCCTAACAGTTGTAATAAAAGAGCATTTAGCCTATCCTTCTACATTTGCCAATCGCCCTGGCTTCTCAGACAGTCCTTTGAGGGAGCTGAGGCACTGACCAACTTCCCTGAGCAGAGGAGAGAAGCTGAGGCCAGGAAAGTTACAGGATCGCTCAGAGGTCACTTAAGAGTAGAAGGAATGCCTGAGTGACCATTCCAAGGGCAACAATTCTTAACATAAACTTTTTAAATTTCGAAAAAATCATTTCTTTCTAAGTAGGGCCAGCTATTCAGCAGCAGTAGTCGTATTCAGAGTTATACTGATACTAGTCCTGCTAATTACGGTGACTTAAATGGCCTAAATTCACAAACTCACTCCCACAGCTCTCTGCCCACCACGCCTTCAAGAGCTCAGGAGGAGGCTGTGGACCACATCACAGGTCCTCAGAAAATTATCTAACAGAGGAAGAAATCTTCTTTCTCTTACACCACACCCGGTTAGCAACAGGATGCATGAATAAACCACAATGAAGAAAAAAAAATTACCAAATTCAGAATTCTATTGTGCATCCTTGCATCAGCTTCCAGAAGGAACCATCATGAACAATGAACCTGCCTTTCTGTCAGCCCTGAGGGGGAGCCGCCAGCCACCCCTCACCAGCACCTGGCTGTGGAAACTGATGGAACACAACTATACAGTTCTCAGTTCCAAAAGGCAAGTAACGCGGAAGAGTTCTTCTGGTTTCATTCTCAAAAATGGATGACTTCTAGGTGTTGCATCTGACACACATAAGGAAAGCTTCACCAATCAACCACATCAAATGCCTCTTTTGCAATAAATGTTGAGGCAAAGACAAAAATTACTTTAGTGACAACAAAACTAAAAGGTGGGGAGGGGTGCACTTAGCGTCCCCTTCAGTTGTCACGAGGACTTTGAGGCAAATGACGAGTATTTTATTTGTGAAAACTGCAACAATTTCCTGACAAGTATCTGCATGTTTTTCCGACAACGTGACAGAGAAATTGCTCAAGTGCCAATAACATCGTGTGCTTACCTGGTCTCTTGGGTGACTTAAGCTGTAGGAAGAACAACAGAAAATCTTTAATAATTTCAGATGCAACTTAAGGTGTCAGAGGTATCATAACGATTTACCAAGCGACACAAAAACAGCGCTAAGAAAGAAAATGATGTCCCGTGCCCAAGCATTCCCCCAGATAAAAAAAAAAAAAGACCCAACTGTACCTTATTTAAGGTTCTCAGATCCTCCATGATCTGTTCGTCAGTTAACAAATAGTTTAGCTGAGGTGCTGAGAGTTAAAGGACCGTATCCAAACGACAAGGCTTTCAAACACAAAGATCGACAGAACAGAGCCAGCATTTCAGAACCAAGGAAGTGTGACTGTATTAAACAGGATTTCTGAAATACAGCTTGCTGTTCCCAAGCTGAAGTTCCCTCTCCAAATGCATGGTCTCAGGTATGTATACAACGAGATTGGCCCCCTGTTCCCCCACCACCTTCCGTCATGAATGGGTGCAAAGAGACTCATTTGCTAATTGCAATAACAGAGCACAGAATAACACGCGAGAGAAATTTCACCCTGAATTCTATGGTGCTTTGTTCCAAGATCTGAGGCTGGTCCTACACATGTGATGAGTTCATAAGTCTCTAACAACTCACAACCCTCAGACATGAAGGTGGAGGGACCTGAAGCTGGACATTTCTCTGTTGCTCATGTGCTCACAGGTTGAACAATTCAACCATTCCAGGCAAATGGCTGTTAGGGCGTCTACAGAGCCAGACACTACACTCCAGTTTAGTCCATCCTTGTTGCTATTTTTACAATTCATAGTCTTCTTTATGTCTGGCTCCAACTTCATTTGCTTTAAATTAAGCAACAGTTTGCAATGCACCCTTTTGGAGAGCTAGATAACTGAGGTACATGAAGGAAGATTACCGCCTTCACTTCAAAGGGAGAAGAATTAAGTATAGGGTGCTTTCAGCTGCTCTTCAATTCCAAAGTGAGTGTTAAAACCAGACTGAATTGCCACACCAAGTACTTTTGCAAGTAACTATTCTTTTCAAGTCCTTATTCTCCGTAAGTCGTCCCCCCCCCCATAAAGGCGATGGTACCACTAATGGGATTCCTATAAAGCAGCCAACACCAGCTCATGACAGAACTACATTTGCTTTCACACTAATTACAGCTTTCCTATAGGGCAAAGCCAATCCTGCTGCGTGGACCAGTGACGGCTCAGTTAGGTGCGCACGGTCAAGGATATCAGGAGCGGGCTTCCTTCTCTTGTCGGGGATGGGAACAGGGTCATTGGGTCGCCGCCGCAGCTTTCTGGTCATGATGGGTTTCACTTCCATGGAATCTGGGCAAGAAAGGAGAGGTTACATAGGTTGAATTCCCATCTGGGATCAGTAAGAACCTCCATCATCCTAAAAATATGTGTCCCCTAGTCACCCGCTCAGACCATAGGATTGGGAATGCTTGAGCCACACACGGCCCAGGTCTGATGCCCACGTCAGAAACAAGAGCATGTCTTAGAACATTCCTTTGATGTGGGTGCCCATGCTTCAGAATTCAGCCTCCTGTCAACCTTACAGCCACTGCCACTCTTTCTCCAGCATTCCCAGAAACCAGGGCCTTTTTCTCTGCACCTCTGAAATGAAGAGATCCAAGAGTCACAAGCCCTTGGGATCAGGAGGCACCTCAGGGACACCTCGGTTGACCTGTTCCTGCTGTTCCCACAGAGGACAAGTGAACCCACGTCTGTGGTACAAAGGCTCTTCCAGAGTCACTGGCCCCAGTAACACTACTGTTATCTCAGAACTTCATTTATATACTTCATCTCTTCCTTTTTCATGTCTTAGCCACTTGCACAGAAGAGATAACAAGGGCTCTTTCTCATCCTTCTTGACTTTTCCAAGGCAACAATGCTACTGCCCAGCCTAAGACAGTCCCTCCCCGCTCACGGCCACACAGAGCTCTCCATTCTGTTCTGTTCAACACGAGGGCCCAATCTGCGTCAGCCTGTACCCTGACAGCCAGCTCACCATGTCCAGCACCAAGTACCCCCCAACACCGCCATCCTCACCCACCACCACCACTGCTCCAGGTTCAATTCTCCCAACTCACTTCCTGGCTCTGCCTCTGCTTCTGACTTGCCGGGCTTCACCTTGGCATCAAACTGGCCAGGTGATGACAACTCCGCCTCCCGAATGCCTTTCTGTTCTGTTCCCTTTTATCATCGTTCCACTAAATCTTCAGTGGTCTATTGTGAACATCACACCATATCCAGCGCATCCTCCCCGCCCTCCACAATCTTCCTAAAACACAACCTAGATTTTGCCTGTCGTGTCTCTTATTAAATGTCGCTAGGACTCGCCACTCTCTATAAAACAATACCCATACCGCATGGCCCCTCACTATCTAGGCTGAGCCCCACTTCAGATTTGACTTTCTTCTTTGTTCACACTTGCTGGTGTATGAGCTTTGAGCTCAAACATTTTTCGTGCCTGCTGGTTCTTGCACCAGCTGCCCCTAAACCAAGTCTCCCATCTCCTGCCCAGCAAACACCTCATTTAACATCCATGGAGAGTCAGCTCACCTCGCCACTTTTGTACAAGCTTCCACTTCCCTCTGCAAGGAGTCCTTCTACACAATCTCCTCCCGTTCCTGTGCTGGAGATTTCTCCACCAGACTCCTGAATCCCACCTCCTCCAACATCAAGGAAATCTGTCCCCATCCTGGCTCCTGGCGATGGTTCTGGTCAACTGGAGGAGCCTAACCAAGCTTCCTACAGACTAGATGAGGTCATGATTGAAGGTCATGAGATAAATTCATGATTATCCACCGGCCAGCAGAGCAGACAGGACAGTGCTCTCAGGAAGTGCAAAAGCAGCCCTTCTCTCACAGCTATGCACACGAGCGAGTTCACCAAGTACGTGATAAACACGCTACGAAGTCCACTGCAAGGAGCTGCCACAGCGAAGGGCTGCGAGGGAGGAAGGAGGTACAGAATCAAGGCCAGGCCTGTGGAGCCCAAGTCACAGACGGACGGAGGGACTGAGTTGGTGGGCCAGAGCAATCGATAAAGCAGCAAGAACATTTAAAGAGCAAATCACTTGGAGCCCTTCTTGCTGTGCCCTCGAATAATGAAATGACCCAGGCTCAAGAAGGAACAAAAAATGCCTTGGTGTCCAGCTCGACCCTCCACTCTCCCCAAGATCCGGACCACTTCTTCCATTCCTCAACGCCCGGTATTTGTGTGGGACCCATTTTCATCACCCTGACTTGTGCGGGAAGCTTCCAGTTCTTACATGAATGTAACTGCACATACCTTCAACCCTGCTCAATCCTACCCTTGCTTAGAAGATGCTGCCTGCCGTCCATTTTGAACTCTCAGCCCCAGTGCCTTTAAGTGCCTTCTGAGAACAAACCTTATCTTTCACCTTAAAGCTGGGACTCACTGGTCCTGCAGGCCTCCAGGGCATCTGCATCTAAGCCAATAGCCAGGAGGCAGAGTGGGGTGGTGAGGACAGGCAGGAGCTCGGAATCAGGTAAATTCTGGCTCACCCACTAATTCACTGGGTGGCTTTAAACAAGCAGTGTCACATCCCAGGGCCTGCACTGGCATCTGGAAAATGACCTGCAAGTCGAACGGAGCTGGAGGAACTAAATGAGGATAGCTACTCTTTTAAGTGCCCATTTAATCTCCACATCAATCCTCTCCTGTGGGTCCTATAATGTCCTTGCCCAAATGACAAGCCCACACCACTAAAATAAGTTACCATCAGAGCCAGGATTTGTCCTGGCCTGGGCCTGTCGGCCTGTGAAGTAGACAATTACAGGAGTCCTGGGTTGAATTCTCTAAGTGCTCAGGACATAAGGCTTCTATTTCAGTGTCGCAATTCCTTCCTCCCAGGCCCAGCTCTGAGCCCCGCTGTCTTACAGAGGAAATCACAGGCTCTGTGAAGGTCAGGAGTGGCTTCCAGGGGCTTGAGGTTTAGATAATGCACCTGGGGAGGCCAGGGCTTCCAAAAGGAAATGAACGGGCAGTTTGTGGCCGGAAAGACAAGGAGAAAAGAAAGCTGTTTGAAGACAGAAAGAACTAAAAAACAAAATCGAAGGGGATGAGGTACCAACTTATGGTCTGTCTGATTCTAGAGAGCCTCACCTTGGCTTTCGTGAAAACTCATGGTCACATCTCCAAACCTGGGAGCTCAACACTCTGGTCTACAGACTGGAAGTATCAGCACCACTGGGTGCTGGTCAGACTTCCGGAAGCTGCCGATGTCACAACAAGTGCCCCCAGTGACTCACACAGACACAAGAGTTAGAGGAGGACTAACCTAACAGCACTCTGGGCCTGAGAACCAGCTTCCACAGCTGTAATCCTGACCGAGGCAGACTGACACATCTATGGGATGGTCTGTGGGTTCCTGCCACCACCCTTCTGGCTGGCAGCCAGGCACTTAACCGCTGTACCACCAGAGCTCCTTGGCAGAATTAAGCAACAGTGCCAGTAGTCAACCATCAACGCACCACAGTGAAACCAGTCCCTCAATTAGAGGAATGAGCGCAGACCCTGAATCCAACACCAGCACGGCACCATTTACAGAGGTGAGGCGCTCCTTGTCCTTCCAGTTCCAGGACCTCAAGTTACCTGGGCAGCACCATCCATACCGAGGGGACCCAGTGCCGCAGCAAGGATGGCGGGCCCTTTAACACCCTCATGGCCGGCTCCAACCACCCCTCTAATCTGTTCGATTGCCTTACAGATGACTTCCCGCCGCTGTTTCTCTTTTCCACCTTGTCAGGCTCAGCTGCAAGTCACTGTGGCAAAGACGCTAGCTGTAAAACTGCCCAGGCAGACAGTACCGCCCACACGTGGGTAAGTGAGCTGCCACAGAGCAGGTAAGGAGAGGGTGCCAGTCCCTTCAGATGCAAAGGGAGTGCCAACAAGCTCACCGCATGACGGTGCACGGGCATCTGGTGGCAGGGCAGAGCACAGCGGTGTGGATGGCAGTGGCCACCACCATGAGAACCCGCAGCAAAGGCAGGCAGAAGAGGCAGCGCGTGGCTGTCAGTCACATATTTCAATAGGAACAAGACGGGGCCATCTGCGGATATGAGGGCAATACCCACTGTCACAGCCTTTTCAAGAGGGGCCTGGCCCTGCTGCTAAGCCTTCCAGTAAGGAAGCCAGCAGAGGAGAGAGGATGTTCCCTAGAGCCCACACCTCCTACTCCACATTCTCCCTGGGTCTCGTGGAGACTGGGTGCACAGCTTCCCTGCTCTTCACAGTTGCTCTCCGTTTCAAGATTCTAAAGCACTGTGTTTTCTATGGAACATGCCTAAACTGGCATCACAGGCCAGACCCCAGGATCTCTGGACGTGATTATAAAGCCCAACTTGGGGGCAGGGGGTTGTTGACAAAGGCCAACCACTCACAAATCAAAGTGACACACACTCAGGGCTACCTTCCCTCGGGACATCTGCTAGTGGACAGTTGGCCAAGTTTCAGGTCAGTGAACTCAGGCCACTTGTGCTCCATGCCGTTCCTGAAGACACAGCTCTAGGAGGGCAGGGCCACTATGCCTCCCCCTTTAATTGCCTCCAACCTGCTGAGGGTCCCCGTGTGGCTTCCTCATATCCTGGAAGGAACTGGCTCGGAGTCTACTGTAACATTACCACCGCCACAGAACACCATCACAGTTCACTTCTCCGGCTGGAATCCTGTCTGTTCAAATGTTCACAGCGGCATTGGGGGGAGTGGGACCCCAGAACATAGAGGATATAGCCAAAAAAAGCTTTCGTTCTCACATCTAGGTCAAAGGAAGATGACATCTTTTCTGCTTCTTACACAAGATTCGGGAGGTGAGGAGGTGTAGAAGAGGGGACCACCAAAAACCTCAACACTCCCTGCCCCATGAATACACTGGGCCATCTGGGGAAGACAGCCAAGACTTGAATGGCAGCGGACCCAGATATAATGCAGAACTTGATGTTGCTACCAACTCCATTTCTAGTCAGAGTCTTGGGCATGGAGGGCATCATCAGCCCCCTCTCATAGACGGGAGGGAGAATGTTCAGAGAGGTTAGCTGAAGTCACTTAGCCAAGACAACGTGGAGTATGGACTCTGCTAACACAAGGCGGTGGGTCAGGACCCAGACGTTAGACTGGAGTAAGTGGAGGGTCCCACCCCAGGTCCCCCGCAGGCCCTGCCTTCTACCACCCCAGGTCCTCCGCAGGCCCTGCCTCCCACCACCGCAGGTCCCCCGCAGGCCCTGCCTTCTACCACCCCAGGTCCCCACAAGCCCTGCCTCCCCCCACCCCAGGTCCGCCACAGGCCCTGCCTCCCGGGCCCCATGCTTTCACACCTCCAGTCAGCTCCATTGTGAGCTTCTCATTTTCAATCATCTTTTTCTTTTCTTCCAACTCAGCAATCAGGTTCTCTTTCAGCTCGACCTTCTTGTCCTCAAATTCTTTCACTGCGGCCTTCTTCTCTTTAATGTAATTCCTCTCCACTTGTTCAGTCTGAGTAAAAGCAGCACAGGTGAGGGGTTGTGGGGTGGCGCTGAGAGCCAAGAGCACGCCTGAAGCCCAGCCCTCAGTCAACAGCAAAGACCTACACTACACATGTGAGAAACTGTTTCACTCACACACACACACACACACACGCGCGCGCGCGCGAAGAGGGAGTCTGCAACAAGTTGCCAAAGAATGTATAAAAAATCAAGCACCAAGATGTTTGCTTGTCTGTATAATGACTTCATTTGCTCCTTGGGCATTCTTTCTTATGCCTGATGGTCAAGCAGAATGTGAGGTCCTCAGAGATGGCAGAAACAACACATTCCACGTGAAACATTCATATTCCGAGTTATTTATATATAACACACTGAGACTCATGGCAGGAGTGGCCACTGTTTTTAATTAATAATGCTTTCAAATACTCGTTAGAGTAAAATGAAGAGCAAAGAGCCAAGGTATTACAGTGGGTGAGTGCTCAGCTGCTAACCAAAGAGTTGGTGGTTCAAACCCATCCAAGCAAAGATCCGACCCTGCTCCCCTCAAGATTCCACCCCGGAAGTCCTAGAGGAGCACTTCTGACTCCATTCTCTGGGGGCACTGTAGGGCCAAATTAGCTTGAAGGCAGGGGCTAGGATTAGGCGCTTGAAGCCTACCGTGTTCAAATATCGAAAGCACAACACTTTTTAAACCGCACCACAGTCATAAAGGAAGAGCAGTGTCCACGGTGGGCTGGGGACAGGGATCATGGGGTCCTTTTCAGGCTGGGGTGACCACAGCCTTTGAAGTGACCACAGAACTAAAATAACTCCCAATGACGTGCTCTGATAAACCATCACCGTCTTCTCAGAACGTGTCCCCCCCCCCCCCGGCACACCCTAACCCCTGCGGCAACGGCACGTCCTTCCAGACGCAGACCCAGATCTCTGCACCCCGAGCACTGGGCCCCACAAAAGATTACAAACAATAAACCAGACTTTCGTACTAGCCTGGAGTTACAACACTAAACCAGACCAGATGCACCAATTCAAAGACGAGGGGGTTTCGAGGGCCATTGTGTTACATAATTAAAACAAAACAAAAACCTATTTCTGCTAAGAATTGTGACTCAAAGCAACCCTAATTGGAGTTTTCAAGGTTATACGTTTTACTAGGAGCAGACGGCCTCTTCTATGCTTTCTATGAGTGGCTGATGGATTTGGAATCCTAAGCTTTCAGTCTGCAGTCCAGCATGCTAATACATCAGACCACTGTAATCCCGATAAAACTCTCAAACGCCGTCCCTGTGAGGTAAATCAACAGGGAAGAGGTGACAGTCAGTCACCCTGAACCCCACGGACAAGCAAAGGCAGCCCAACCAACAAATAAAGAGATGAGTTTCCAAGACCCCTGTTGTCAAGCAGAGCGGTGATGAAGCTTCCAGGCTCGCTCTTTGGCGCTAGCAGGACACACCACCCATTCAGGAATGAGAGCGCAGTCTCAGAAAGAGCCTGGCAGCCATGAAGATGCGAAGGGACTCTGGACTTACTTCCAGCTGGAGGAAGAGCTCTGAAAGAGAGAAAATGGGCAGTTAGCCTTGCTAGGCCGTGTCACTGTTCCAGACAGAGAGGCTAAGAACCATTTCAAAGTCCTAATTGTTTTCTGAAAGTACGGTGACACAAGAAAATGCTTTCATCAGGTGAATGTGGATGAATATGAAGGGAGAGGGAGGAAGGAGAGAAGGGCGCAAGAACTCGGGACCTGAACAAACCTGGCCCTGGCACTTATGCCCAAGAGCAAACATGGAGGACAGAAATCAAACCACCATCCTCAAAGCCCCTGGCTGTCTGCTCAATTCTGACTCGCTGCCTCGAAGGACGGCACAGACCAAAGGTTTGTGATGCTGGGAACCTTTACAGATGCAGACGGCCCCATCTTCCTGGCTACAGGGTTTGCATCGGCCAAGCTGCTTAACTCCGGTGCCACCAGGGTTACTTCAAAGTATCAACGCAAAATGAAAAGAATACTTCTTCGTTGGAACCAGTTTTAAGATTCACTCACTCAAAAAAGGGTAGGATGAGCCAGGAGGAAGGGACACTGTCAGTCCTGAGGCGATGCTGTCATGTCAAGGACCTTGGGGGGAGCAGGGACACTCGCAGAACCTGGCACCACACTCTTCTCTGACCAGCTATAGACGGAACGCAGCCCAGCCTTGAAGCCTCTGACCTTGTCTCTCTTTTTCCACCCTCGCTAAGACCACTGGCTTTCCAGCTAGCAGGTGCAACAGCTTATTAACTGTGCATGAGGGACTGAAATAGTTTCCTCATCATTAGATGAGCCCCTCTACAAACCTCACAGTGGCCTAGTGCTAAGGAACAGCACTACCAACCCAGAGGCATGTGGTTCAAATCCACTAGCTGCACTGAGGGAGAAGGATGGGCTGTCTCCTTCTGTGCAATTTACTGCCTCTGAAAACCTGCTGGAGGGTCTGCTATGGGTCTGTTCTGACTTGACAGTACACAGTAACAATCCCAGGGAGTCCTGGGGGTACCGTGGTTTAGCGCTTGCCTGCCAACCCAAAGGCCGCCGCTCAGGAGGAAGAGGTATCAGTGTGCTACTCTCAGGATTCACAGCTCTGCACACCCCACGGACAGCTCTGCTGTCTTACAAGGTCACTCGGAGCTGGGATTCACTCAATGCCAATGGTTTTTTTCCTTCTATAAATCTAGAACTTTCGACTAAACAGGTCTGTAGTTCTCAATTATTTTAGGGTACCATTAGGGTTATAGCATTATAACCATACATTAGGTCCACAGAAATTGAGGGTACTGCACAACTCCAGGGGGCGCTGTTCTCATTTCACTGGGGTCCCTTTTACACACCTAATCTATCCTGTGGGCTCGTTTGCAAAAAAACATGCCCATTCACACAAAGTATTTCACAGGCCCCCAGACTAAGTGACCCCAATGCTCAATTAACTACCCCTGGAGTACAGAGACGAGTGCATGGTGGTCCATCAGAATGCCCCAACATGGCAGCACTCATGCGAAGCTAGGTGAGCCCTTATTAGACTCTTATTACCAAAGCGACTCCTCCCCACAGAACAGAAAAGGCAAACTGAAAACGGGAGTGGGGGCATCTTCACAGCCTTTTCCAAATCAGCACCTCTGACTGTCCACTCAGGAGGACAGGGCGTGAAGGTGAAGGGCTCCTCCTGGGCCTCTGGGGAGCAGAGTCCAACCACAAGGAGCTACACCCAATGCCCTTGACAGCTAGGGATTTAATAGATAGATAGGGAAGGAACCAAGCAGACCTGCAGCTCAGGGGTAGGGGAGGGCCTCAATACTGTTCCCTAACAGGACATTTGGACACATGTTGGAGAACAGCTCTTAAAGCGCTTACGACATCAACGATCAACAAAAGGAGGACTGTCGGAGGGCGACCCGCACCGGCCGCGGCCTTACCTGCGTTTCGGACCCTCTCTTTGTACTGCTGGTCTAGTTTCTTCATTCTCTTCTGATATTCCTGAAGCGTACCTGGTTTTGATCAATTGCAAAAGAAAAAGAAAACATTACAACAAAGACCAAGCCACTGTGAGTTAGCCCCAAGTTCTTGCACCAACAGTGATCACTTCAATGACATTTGAGGCAAACACAAGCCAAGGACAGTCACCCACACACATCGAGTTAAGCCCATTCTGGTTCTCAACTGCACAGATGCCAAGTGAATTCTGATCGAGGGATCAGAAATCCAGAGAAAGGCAGAGATGAGGGAGCACAGGCACACCAAATGGATTTAAGAATTGCTGAGAACCAGTTAGGTTCAACTGAGGATCTCTACTCATCACGAGCGAAAGAACAAGAGGAGCACACGAAAGACTTAGAGAATAAACTGGTCAACCCTGCAAATCCTTCTTCCTCGTCTGAGCAATGTCAGTTTGAAGACTAAGATGCACCTGACTGTGGATACAGTCTTTCCAACCACTTGCTATGAATCTCAGAGCTGGACAGTGAATAAGGATGACAAAAAGAATTGATGCTTTGGAGCTGTGGTGCTGGAGAAGTGTACTGACTGAACCATGGACTGCCAAAGAACAGACAGGTCTTGGAGGAGGTGCACCCAGAGTGTTCTTTGGAGGCGAGATGAGGAAGTGTCATCTCACACACTCTGGGCATTGTCCATGCCTTGGAGAGGGACAGCATGCCTGGAAAGGGGGGGGGCAGTGAAAGAAAGGAAGACTGGGGGGGCTGACACAGTGACTGTGGCAATGGGCCTCAGTGTGTCAGATGTGAGGATGGCCCGGGACAGGACGGGGTTCAGCTGTTGTTTGCAGGATTGCTGTGAGCTGTACTCGACTTGATGGTAACAGACCACCACTCCCACCCGATAGAGAGCCCACATCTACCCAGGGACCAGAAGAGCTAGATGGTGGTCAGCTACAACCACCAACCATTCCCTTCAAGGACACACAGACAGATCCTGAGACCAAGGAGGAAAATGTGCAACAGAATATAAACTCTTTGGGGGAGGGATTGCATAACATTGAAAGAGTTTTTCTTTTCAAGGAGAAGAGTGAAATGGGGGAAGTGGGTGGGCAGGGAGAAAAGTGCAACAGTGATTGACTAGAAACCTAAGTCTCTGCAAACTTTCAAAATTAATTTAAAAAAAAAGTATATAAACTCTTAAAATCCACATTTCCTGGAGCAGTTGAAACTGGGGGATTCCCTAAGACTGTCATCCTTACACCGTGAACAAAAACGCCCCCAAGTGTGGCTGTCAGAGGACCAAAGGGCTAACACACTAAGTGAAGGGTATTATCTACGGCTCAGAAGCTCCATTTAAAATAAAAAACCATCTGTATGAGGCAACAGTACTCATGCTAAAGTTGAGAAAGTAGAAGAGAAACGAGAGTAATGGAAATGGAACAACCAGAACACAATTAAAGACAGCACTGACGCATTGTGAAAAACATAACTTACAGAGCTGAGAAATGGTAGCAAAAACTGTCAAATGGGAACTAATTTGTGGTATAAACTTCTATCAAACATGTAACAAAACACATTTTTTAATAAGAAGGAAGAAACAAAATGTAATAAAATCAGCAGTCCTGTGTCATTTTCAAGGTGTCCACTGTATTAGTGTTCACAACTAACTCTGGTTTAAACAAGAACAGGAGAACTACTTTCCGCTACAGGACACACAGCCTCCCTTTCCGCAGAAAGCTCACCCCCCCTTCAATAAGCTCTAAGTCATCGCTGGCCAGGAATTTCCTTTGTCCAATATGGCAGCCACTGGTCACAAGCGGCTACTGAGACGCGGTAACCTGACATGTGGCTGTTGTGTGTCGTCAAGTTGGAACTCACTCATAGCTGACCCTCCAGCGGGTTTTCAGAGGCAGTTAATCACATGGGAACAGACTGCCCATCCTCCTCCTGTGGAGCAGCTGGTGGATTCGAACCGTATGCCTTTGGGATTGCAGTGCAGGTTCTTCTCACTAGGACACCAGAGGTCCCGGTGTGGCTGGCACCACTTAATAGGAAAGATTCTGTTCCTCAAGGTTAAGGAGTCACATGTGGCTATACCGGCATATACACTGCACTGGCGCAGTCATGCCAGATCTCTGCCCAGTTCACTTCTCTTCCTCAAGGAAGGAAGTAGCTAGTCTGTAGGGAGGCGCACTGCTAATCAAAAGGCAGTGATTCAAGTCCACCGGCGGCTCCACAAGAGAAAAGCAATCTCCTTCTATGCAATTTACACTTCCGGAAACCCACTGGGAGGGAGGGTCAGCCAACAGCAGGTTCCATCACAACAGTAAATGAGATGGGGTGTCTGAAAATTTTGGTTTTTTTAGTCCCGAGCTAATAAAGAGCTTTCTAACTCATGAAGGAAGCGTTCCCTAACCATATGCTTTAGTCAGTGTTACCCCTGAACTGTGTCCCCTGCCCGGAACACATGCTAGAATCCTGAATCCACTATCGGTGGATATAATCCTTCTGAAAACAATTTTAGGATAATCAGATCACAGCTGAGTTCCATAGAGTTCTAAATCTAATTACTTCCTGAGCTCTGGTGGCCTAGTGGCAAAAAGCTGCACTACAATCCCAAGGGCACATAGTTCGAGGCAATCGGCTGCTCCATGGGAGAAGAATGGGCAATCTCCTCCCACATGATTAACTGCCTCTGAAAACCCACTGGAGGGTCAGCTATGAATAAGTTCTAACTCGATGGCACACAATGACATTATTAAAAAAAAAAAATCTAGTTCCTTCCAAATTTAAAAAGAACGTATTAAACATTCAGATTAAAAACACAGATACACAGGAAAACAGACATCACATCAGGACATATTAATATTTCCCCCCCAAATTCCTCATCCAGCCATCCCACACAGACCCTACAGGCTTGTAACACTGGAATGCACTTCTTTCTCTGACAGCACTTCTATCATCAACAGAAGATGTTTGACTAGAGCTCACAGACACACGTATTAAGCCAAGATCCTTCTCAAGAGGGCTGGTTGAAGAAAGACAGAGCCGTCTGCTTCCATGCACAGCCTTGGGGCACCTCTCCTCCACCCTGCAGGGGTGTTACCAGTCAGAACGGGCTCAACAGCACCCCGCTGTCTGGTTTCACTGCCCAGAGAAGCCCACAGCATGAAGCAGACGTGGACAGTGAGCAGCCCACCATCCTCAATCACCCAGAATCTCACCTGCCCTCTCTTTTCTCCACTTGACAGATTAAAAAGCAGATAAACAAAAGAAAGTTATGTGTCATCAGCCAGGATAGGATTTGGGGTTCACATAGTCCTGACTCAAAACTGCCAAACTGTCACCTGCAGCAATGAGCACGCAACAAGACACAACCTGCTCTCGATTTACTGTGGAGGGGGAAAGCACACGGTGGAGCTGATCCACAGAGCTTTAACATTTAATTGGGGGGGGGGGTGTCACAAAACTTTATTCCTTCATGACCACCCTCTTTCTTCAACATTTAGCTTAGTAAAGCCTATTTTTAAGAGAGTGGTTTTCAACTCCTGCTCTAGAGGATGCCCTAAGGGAGATGCCATTCGAAGAAAGAATTTCCTTATTTGAAAGTAAAAAACTCCAAAGTCTGAAAATGACCACTTCACTTAGGTACACCCACTGGACACCTTCAAATGGCAAGGCCCAACTTTCCCTCACTCCCAGCAGTGATTTCAGAGTTCAAGGGTTTAGGACATGGCAGGTATATGGGTGAAAGGTCAAATCACATCACATACCAACCTTCCTGTAGCTGCTGCAACTGTCTCTTGAGAGACGCCAGTTTGTCCTGATACATCCTGGAGGAAGGGGGAGAAAAAAGACACATTGAAAGATAAAAACATCCAATACTAACCCTGAAAACATCCACAAGCAGGAATTACAGGGAGGTCTGAGCAGCTGTAGCATGCCTAATAGGAAAGAACAAAATCCAAAAGTCTACTAGCTGATTTAAGACGTACTGGAAGCTACCGGTGGTGCAGTGCATAACTTGTCAGGCTGCTAATCAAAAGGTTGGTGGTTCGACCCTACCAGCTGCTCCAAGGGAGAAAAGACTAGCAGGCTCGGAAGCCCAACGCAGGGCTGCGGCAGGTCAGGCTTGAGCTTTGGTTCTGGGCGGTTTTCCTGGTTGGTAGGTACTGATAGCTGATCCAAGAAGTACTGGCACAGCGGTTAAGCACTCAGCTTGAAAAGCTAGTAGTTCAAATCCTCCAGGTGTGCCGAGGAGTAAGATGGGGCAATCAGCTTCCATAAAGGCAGTCAGTGTGCTGGTGTCGCTGTCAGGACCCCCAGTGAGCCCATGCCCCACGGAGCAGGGCACTGGCCCGCCTGCGCCGTCGTCACAGCCACCCGAGGGGCTGCTCTGTTTGAGTCCATCGTTGTAGCCTCCATGTCAACCACCTTCCTCTCTTCTTCGCTGACCTGCTACCTGACCAAGCATGCTGTCCTCCTTCAGCTGGTGATCTCTCCAGTAACACACACCCCATCAAGATCACAGCCCCAGGACGCCTATGGGGCAGTTCTACGCTGTCTCTAGAGATACAAACAGTTGGAGTCAGAACCTACATGGTGGCAGCGAGCTTTGGTTTGGTAACGGAAGGGACCCCAATCCCAACTCAAGGTTCCAGCTTCTGTCATCTCACCTTTAGAGAATCGGCTAGAATCCGGAGTAAAGCAGCTTCCGGTCAATAAGCAACAAGGACACAGTGAGTTAGACAGTGATATACAGAGAAAACCACCAAGATCGCTTGGAGTCTTAAGCGTAACTGAGACGAGTGTGCACACAAAAGCACAACAAACAGCATTAAACACAGCATTTAGACAATTAGATTACAAATTCCAAAGCAGGAAGGATATAGATATGGTGGCTGTGTATGCACATAATGCTGCATGCTCATTTCTTTAAAAAACAAACAAACAAAAATCACTATTCTTTGAGGATCAGAGAAACAGTAATGGAGATGGAGATGTGGAAGTGTAGGATTGACTCGAAGCCTGAGATAAAAGCACCCAACATCTGCAAAGCACAAGAAGCCAGCAGGGTGTTTCTCGATCGTATCCAGAGGACTATGGGAAATTATACTCTGTGACAAGTCTGCAGGAGCGAGTCCACACTGAAATCATCCCTCTGCAATGCCTCGGCTTCCCCCTGAAAAGCAGCCCCAGTTCACAGTGAGAGACACAGGATTTGCCACCTGGAAGAAAAGGGTAATCCAAGGGTCACCAGAAAACAGACAGCTGCCTTCTGATGGCTCAGATGAAGGCTGCACATACAAGGACAATCCCAGTTTACAGGGGGAAGGCGAGAGTGGGCAGAATGGAGAGTTTTTCAGGATGGTCGAGTCTTTGGGGGAAATTCGGAAACTTTTTTCCTTCTGCTTTATGATATTAATTGTAATACACACCACATAATTTTAGGACATAAATCATAATACACACATTCGAGGCCACCAGCTGCTCGGTAAGAGAAGGTGGGCAATCCCTCCCTGTGCGATGAACGGCCTCTGAAAACCCGCCAGAGGGTCAGCTATGGGTCGCTTCTGACTCTGGCGCACACCACCACAAAGGGACTTGGGAGCACACTGTTCAAGGTTGGAAGTTCAAATCCGTGACCTGTTCCACGAGGGAAAGCTGGGCAGTGTCTGCTGTGAAGATTTACAGGCGTGGGAATCCGGTGAAAGGTCACTATGGGTCAGAACTGATCCACAGCAGTGGGTTTGCCTTGAAGTGTCTCAAGCAAGCATGTGTTTAGCCTGGCAGATTGCATCCTTGGCAGTGCTGCCCCGCTGCCCCGCTCAGCCTCGGCCTGACGGCGCTGTGTGCTGGCACCTGGGGTGGGCACGCCTGGCGCAGCTCTTGCTCAGACAGTTCTCCGGAGCTTCACTGCCTTTGCAGCTGCTGCCACTGTCAACACCAATGTTGCCTCTCCTGGTCTGTCCCTGTCTCTTCCTGTTCACATATTTACTTCTCCCCTAAAAGACAAGATGTATTCTCTGGTTCTTTCTCTTTGACTAGTGAGATTCTCATTTCCTGTTCGTGAGCCTGCGCCTCTGAACACTGGCAGGATGGTCAAACTGACCGAGCCCCGCGTTAGCTTTCTGTACATCTCATTTGTATGCTCCCACCCAAAAGGTGCTATTTACAGAAGGAGCAAGCTATCTAACCCCCTTGGCGAGCTACAGTGAACACTGACCACAGTCTTCTCAATCACTTACTACGCTGCTGAGAGCTGGACAATGAATACGGACGACAGAAGAATGGATGCCTGTGAACTGGTGTGGAAACGGGTACCGGGTATCCCATGGATTGAAGAACACCAAGAGGTCTTGGAGAAGGTGCAGCGAGAGTGCTAGGATTATGAAGCTTACTCTCACAGACCGGACCGTGGGTATGTTGCTAGGAGATGCTATGGAGGGACAATGAAGGAGAGCAAGACCTCAACCAGGTGGACTGACAACAATGGGCTCAAGCGTGTTAGAAATTGAGGATGGCACAGGACAGGGTTCAGATCTGCTCAGAGGGTCACTATGAGTCATACTGGACTCGACAGCACCTAATAACGACAACAACCCTGATAATGTTGTGAAAATCAAAGTTAATGGCCTGAATAAAACATTACAAATAATTCGTTATCACGTTAAGATTCTTGGAGCAGGAATAGAAAGCAATAAATATGTCAGTTAATACCAAACTGATAGGGGGAACTCTGGTGGCCTAGTGGCAAGAAACTGCACTGCAATCCCAGAGGCGCACGGTTCTAATCCACCAGATGCTCTGCCGGAGAAGGAGGCGCAATATCCTCCTGTACCAGTCAGATCTGATTTGACGGTACACGCACAGAAAATAAAAAAAAAAAAAATACCAAACTGATGAAATGCAATAAAATTAACGGGGAGCTATGCACACACACACATTGTGCTTGAAAATTAACAGGGACTATGCACACCAAGCCGAAGGTGGTATAGTACTGGTCTGTGTGTTGCTGTACAGAGGTAACTCATGGTTGCTGTGATGCTGAAGCCTGTGACAGTGATGTGCCAATCGTGGTAATGGGCACCCATGGTGGACAGTGTTGGCTGGAGCTTCCCAACTAAATCAAGCCTGGAAGCAGGAGCGGCATCCACTTCCGAAATGGCTTGCCTCTGGAAACTCTATGTACGAACAGTGCTCAGGCTGTTCGTTCACAGGGTCGCTATGAGTCGTCTACGACTCGATGGCATTAAACAACAACATACACACAGAGACCTGGTGCTTAAAGTACAACAGTAAACTATATACCAAACCAGCTGCCAGAGTGACCTGGTGCTTAAAGTACAACAGTAAACTATATACCAAACCAGCTGCCAGAGTTCTCTGACTCACAGGGATTCCGCAATGTGTCAGAACAGCACTGTGCTCCCTCAGGATTTTCGATGGCTGATTTTAGATTGCCAAGCCTTTCTTCCACGGTACTCTGGGCGGACTTAAACCTCCAATCTTTCAGTTAGCAGCAGTATTGCCCAGTCTCACCCTCCACCGCAATCAAATTGATTTTGACTCATGGGACAGAGGAGAATGGCTCCTTGAGTTTCTGAGGTTATAAATTGTGTGAGGCAATAGTTTCACTCTTCTGCACAGCAGCTGGTAGATTCGAGTTATCAACCCATTGGCTGGTAACCCACTCCTCATCAGGGCTCCTCTGTACCACCCAAAGTTAATTATAGATGTTATTGTCTGTATTTCAAAAAGAACGGGAACAACACAAAAAAGCCTGTATTACTCACTGTTCTTTCATTTCTACGTAGTCTTCTTCATCATGTTTTGCCAGGTCCGTTTCACTAGCATCCTCCGTGTCTGTGTAAAATTAGAGAGAAGGGTTAGTTAGAAATCATGATTCACGGATTTAGCATCATCTGATACAGTACAAGGAACTCATAAACATCTGTAAAATGAATTCCCATGCAGTCCAGACCTGCCAGAGGCTTCCCATAAAAACTCTAAGGCTCAAAGAAAACACCACGTCCAACTCATACACGGTCAGATGTGTTCCAAGAGCACGGCTCCCCTCCATGTGCAGAGAGCAGGTGCACGGGCGTCACGGTCAAGGCTGCTACTTCTGCAGAAGCAACAGAGCTGACAGACGAGGAAAAGGGAGTGTGGGTGGAAAGCTGGGAAGCTGTAGGCTGTCAAGCCTCATTTTCTCACTACTCTAAAAAAGATCTTATATAGGCAGCATCTTCTGATGCATGCCCCATTTGTCTCTGTAACACATTTGACATTAATGGGATGCTGGTGGTGCGGTGTGTCAGGCAATGGGCTTCCAACCTCAAAGGTTGGCAGTTCAAATTTAATGAGAAGATTTCGGTAAATGTCTACAGCCTTGGAAACTGGATGGAAGGTCACCAGGAGTTGCAAATCAACTTGACAGCACTGGGTTTGTTTGGGTTTGTGTACAACAACAAACAAAAATAAAAAACAAAAACCCTAAACAAAAACAAAAACCTCCAAACAAAAAAAAAAACAACAACAACAAGCAAACCAACAAACACAACACTGTCAACACATTAGTTCTAGGTCATGGTGACCTCACACACTTAAGGGTAAAACTGTGCGCTGAGAGGTTTTCTGTGCAGCTAGGATCCTCAGGACTTTTCTTCCGAGGCACCTCTGGATATATTCAAACTGCCAAATTTTAGCACGGTAGGCAAGACATAACCACGTGTGCCACCCAGGGATGCCACAGGGTAAGAACAACAAAAAAACGGTTATGTTATAATAACTGAAATCTTTTCAAAGTTACAGCTAAACTGAGCAAGATGATTTTATCAGAAACTGTTTCAGAACCTTTTAAACATCAAACATTTTGGCTGCAGTGTCTGTGTCATGTCTACAGTCCTGAAAGAGAAAACCAAATCTACTCCTCAAGGGATTGGAGTTGGGGGTGGGGAGAAGAGAAGGGTCCAAGTGACACATAAAGTTCTACTTTGTCCTGGAGGGTCACTAAGCATGGGGGGGGGGGGGAAATGGGATCCATTTTGGTGTGATGGCTCCCCCTCGTGGGCTTTAGTAGTAGTCGTTCAAATGCGCCACCTTCAAAAACCCAGGTTAGGCTTGTTTTCCAAGGTAGTTTACCCAAACCTCTTAAGAGTGCTGGCAAATTGTCCCCTTTTCCTTATGACTCAGGGTGAAGTCTCTCTCAGGGAGGAGTGATAGGGAATGGCAAAGGATACACTGACAAAGAAGATTAATCAGAACTGGCTTTGACAAGCACTGTGGCATTTGGACAAGAACAAACTGGGAGGAGGGTAGAGAGAATAGTGCAACAATGAATGAGTGGAAGCCCAAAATCTCTGTAAATGTTTATGAAAATTAATAAAATATAATTATAGAAAAAAAAAAAAAGAGTGCTGGCAAATTAATGAAACCAGCAACGAAGCCCTCAAGAAGAGCATGTCCTCAAGAGGAAATAATCCTGCCAAGACTTGCAAAGTGCATCATCTCCGAAGACTCACAGCCATCAGTCCCATTCTTTAACTCTTGCTACCTCTGGACTGGCAGCTGAAGCTCCCCATTCAACACAAGCCCACCTGCCCTCCTTCAGTCTGAAGAGCCTCCCAGAGACATCGCCACCAGGTAGGTGGCTTGCGGGGGACTGAAATAAGTAAGCGTTTCTAATCGATCCCTCCAAATACATATTCCTCAGACTACTCAATCTCATTGCCTTCAACTCTAGTGATCTGCCACTGGGTTTCCGAGGCTCCAAATCACAAAGAGAGGAGACTTCCCACCCACCCCCAACCAGCCTCTGAGCATCATCTGGTAGCTTTGAACCAATGGAGACATGACACACATGTTCTTTAAGTTAGCAGCACAATGACCCTCCCCACCCAAACTATACAATCCCATCTAAACAGCAAGATTTTTGCAAGGCAGTGATTGTCAATGTAAAGAACACAGAACTGAAAACAATACACCCATTGACTAAATCCTTTCTTTTGCGGCCTGAGGGCTATTTTAGGCACACACCTCATTGAATCATCTTCAATGCCCCAGGGAATGATTACAGCTGACTCCAGATAGGGGCCTAGCCCCGCAATTACTTTCAACTGTGAGAAGTAATTTACCTGCGCCAAGAAAGTGCTCAAGTAGTAAGGATTAATCGGGTCAACCCCCATGTCTTAAATGGAAATCCCCACAGCTGAATTCGCAGCAAACCTGCGCTGTTCAAGGCTGGACCACTACCAGCCCGGAGGAGGCTGGAGAAAGGGAAACTCTGAAGCTTAAGAAAAGTTGTCCGCGGTCACAAAGTTGCAGAAAGTGGCTACCAATTGGAAACATCGCCCTGGCCCGGTTCCAGGTTCCACTCTTAGAGCCGATCGGCACTTTTCACTGCGAGATGCAATTTCTTGGCTAGCAAATCCGGTGGATAAGGGGCAAAAGGGGAACCCAGAAGCCTAAACGGGCTCGTCTCTGCCCCGCTCGGTGACTAAGATGGGAAGAGAGTTACAAAGTGGAGACAGAAGTTCCCCTGGGGACAGTTAGGGATGGAAGGTACATCTCTTAAAGGGACCGGCAGTTCTGACATCTCCCGAAGTCCCTTCCCTCTCGGATTGTAGGGCGCAACATACCCAGGGGTTCCCCTCTTTCCCAGCGCGAGTCAAGGGATTAATTTCCAGGAGCCCAGCTGCCCCCAAAACCAGCCCTACTCCCCGGAGGTCAGCCCGCCCCCGTCCCTTACGGCCTCACCTATGACCCCTGGGGGGTACCTCGCCTGCCCCGGGGTCACCCAGCCAGCGCAAAAGAAGCACCTTCGTCCGACTCGCGGCCCCGACAGCTGTGCTCATCGTCCTCCGCACTCTCCGGCTCCTCGTCGTCGTCCGGGTAGTACTCCGGGGCCGGCGGCGCTCCAGCCGGGGCCGGGGCCGGGGCCAGCAGCCCCGCGGCACTCATGTCGCCTCCGGCCGTGGCCGACTGTATCAAAGGGAGACCACGACCACGCGCGCGGGAGATGCGATGTCCGCTTCGAAGCTGCCGTGGGAGCCCCGGACTCGAGGGGGAGCCGCGGCGCCCCCTTCCCGGTCTCCGCGAAGCTCTGCCCCTCTCGCCCGCGCTCGGCAACGGGGGCCTCGCGCCGGCGGCGACTTCCGGGTCGCAAGCTGCCCCGCGACCGCCTGACTCCGCCCTGCTAGAGGGAGCGGGGCGAAGCTTGCGACGCCCCTTTTGCATAAACACCTTCCCTGCCATCGCTGCTCAAAATAACGTCAACGGTATGGGTGAGAGGGGACGGGCAAAATATATAGGGGTAGGCAAATCCATGGGCAGGCTTCGAAAGGGCCAGGACCCCGAGGCTAAGGGGTAGTTTTGAGACGTGGCCGCCAGGTGGCGCCTGGAGCCGGAACTGAAGTGGGTGGGAGTCGCCTGCTGCCCGAGGGACCCAGGGATGGAGGGACTGCTGGCAGGTGCAAGTGGTCTCTGCTTTCATTTAAGCAGGTGAATCGCACCAACCGCGCCCTTTTCTATATCGGGAAATTTTCAACTCTCGAGTTTGACCAGAAAAATGAGCCCCTGATCCTCCCCTCGCCAATTGGAACTTGAATCACGAAATGCATGTTGAGGTTCCATTCTAGGATCTGCAAAAAGGCTGAATGTTGTGTGGTTGTTTTCAGCCCGTGGGAGCCATTTCTCTTTGCACAGCTGTTCCCTGAAAAAGCTTCCCCCCTGATTTTACAGATGAGGAAAAAATATGTTGTTTGCCTAATAACGTGGTACCGTTTAATCTGCCTTCTTTAGGCTCCCAAACCCAGGCCCTTCACACAGCAGTGCTTTTGTATTTATTTCCTCGAATACTATTTTAAACAGTTACTGTTGCTCAATCCAATAACTCGCCACTCAGCTTTTAGGTGTGCAAGCAGCATGTCTGCCTACAGTATATTTATTTGGCTAAAATTTGTGTGATATTTCTCCAAGTAGAAGGTGACAGTGTTACAAGTTTTGGTTATAGATCTCAGGTGACTCTGAGAAGATCTCGTTTATAGCAAGAATCGTTGACCTTTAATAAAAAAAAAGAAAAGAAAAGAGAAAAAAAAAAAGAATCGTTGACCTGTATATATCTTCTTTCCTCCTACTTGTAGATTCTTAAGCACTACATATATTAAAGAATCCTGGTCCTTATTCGCACGTGGAAGACATTTTGCAGGGGCGTCTCCCTGCACCCAAAGAAAAATTAAAAAATGTAAAAAGTAAGAAAAAGGATAAATGACGAAAAGGGCCCAAAGATGGCTTACTGGATTGTTAAAAGAAGTAGGGAAAATGTCACTCTTTTTCTCACTACCAACTTCTCAGTTGAAGTAACTTCTACAAGTTACTTTAAGTTTGCTACTTGTAGCAAATTTGAACATTATTTACAAGTTAGAGAAACCAAACCTTTTCTCAAGTCCATTCAGACTCAAAACCGACCCACAGAACAGAGAAAAACAGCCCCATAGGGTTTCCAAGGAAACCTTTTAAAAGAAAAAAAAATGCGATTTGATAATAATAGGTATAGATCAATAATAATTATATAAAATACAATATGCAGTTTGCATACCGCCTAGGGGCAAGAAGGTGCGCTGTAATCTTGAAGGAATGCAATTCAAGGTCACTAGCTGCTCTGAGGGAGAAGGATGGGCAATCTCCTCTCATGAGATTAACTGCTTCTGAAAACCTGCTGGAGGGTCAGCTATGGGTGGGTTCTGATTCTATGGTACAAAACAACAGAGAATGATTGTATAAAACACTGAGTGTCAGATCATATAAAGCAATGTACATGAATGAAATAGAAAAAAGTTTTTAAAAAGTATTTTGAGTCAAAGTGTACAAAGCATATTGTTTTCCCAATCATTCATGCATAATTTGTCCCATAATATCAATTACAATTCAATATCTAGTCATCCATTCATTCCAGATTGCTTTTGCCTTCACCCATCTTAGTGCTTGTGGTTGTTGTTAGGTGCCCTCAAGTCAACTACCACTCATAGAGACCCTGTGAACGGCAGCTCTGAACCATGCCCTGTTCTGTGCTGTGCCCTCCTTGCGACCTCTAATACGCATGAACCACAGGTGCACTTGCTATGTCAATCCATGCTGTTGAGGGTCTTACACTATTTCTCTGACTTTATACCTTTCCCAGCACGACGTTCTTTTCTTTTTTTAAAAATTTTTTTTTTATTGGGAAAAACATATTGGGGGTACAAGGAGGTGAGGGTTAGGGGCAGAAGGGTGAGGATGGGCCAGGATGCAGTTGCAGAGCTGCAGTTTGGTTGGTGGGGGGAGCAGGTGAAGGAAATGATGAGGGTCCAGTGGGGACCAGATGCTACAGAGGAATGACAAGCATTTTCCAATAGTAATTAAACCAACTGTCTTATTGATTTGGGAATTGGATGCCGACTCTCTGGCTTCTTCATGCTGAACAGGGGCGTAGATATAAAGGGGGGAAGGGAGGACGCTTTATCACCTTACTGGTGGTCTTGGGTTACAGCTGCTTGCCTTCATGCTCCTGAGGGCCGCGACGGTTCGCCCTGAGCCGGGGGCCAAGCGCAGCTCGCCCTGGGCAGAGGGCCGCGACGGCTTGCCCCGAGCCGGGGGCCGAGGGCAGCCCGCCCCAGGCAGAGGGCCGCGACGGCTGAAGTAGTCTTTTTTAAAAAAAGAAGAAGAAAAAGTGTGTGTGTGTGTGTGTGTGTGTGTGTGTGTGTGTGTGTACCATCAAATTGGATCTGACTGGTACAGGAGACTGCCCCTCCTTCTCCAGCAGAGCATGAAGTAGAGTCTGGGTTCCCCGCCCCCCGCCCCCAGGTGCCTGTCGGGGCCTGGGTTTCAGCTGTCCACACCACAGCAGTGGGCAACGAGCTTAAAGCCCCTAATGGCTCTGGGCGCTGACTCTCACCAGTGGCTATGGATGAAGTCACAGGCGAATACGACGTTCTTTTCTAAGAACTGGCCCTTCTTGATAACATACCCCAAATGTGTGAGCTTAGAGTAAGTTTCATCATCCTGGATTCTGAAGATTGCCCTTCCTCCAAGACAGGCCTGTTTGTTCTTTTGGCAATCCTTTTGGTATGCTCTATTAATTAATTTTCAATTGCCTCCCTTTCCCTCCCTGCTAACCACACTGGAATGATTATGTCTAGATTGTGTCTGTTATCTCTTTATAAATGTGGTCTTGATAATCTTTGAGGGAGCTCTGATGGCCTAGTGGTAAGAAGCTGCGCTGCAAACCCAAAGGTACATGATTCGAATCCTTCAGATGCTCCTTTCGAGAAGGATGGGCAATTTCCTCCCGGGTCATTTACTGTCTCTGAAAACTTGCTGGAGGGTCAGCTGTAAGAATGATTCTGTGTGTAAACTTTTATCTCTTTATAATAGTGTTTTTGATAATTTTTACAGAGGCAAAGATCTGCTTACATCTGTCTCTCACTGACCTGCTAGTGGTTTCAAGCCCCTGACCTTGCAGTTAGCAGCCAAATACTTAACCACCATGCCACCAGGTATTCTTATTTTCTTAAAAATGAGGGAGCTCTGGTGGCCTAGTGGCAAGAAGATGCACTGCAATCCCAGAGGTATGAGGTTCAAATCCACCAGATGCTCTGCTGGAGAAGAAGGGGCAATCTCCACCTGTACCAGTCAGATCCCATTTGATGGTACACACACAAAAAATAACAACAAAATTTTTAAAAAATACTATAAGAAATAAAGACATTCTTCTCCACTTACTTGATCTGTTTTCATTTTCTACATTGTTTCCATTAAAATCTGGGTGGGGAGGGAGCAAAACTCAATTTCCAGAAAACAGTGCTGTAATTTGTTTTTTCCTAGAAGCTTTGAGGCTGGGCTCTATGAGAAGAAATGTGGGGTCAAGATTGGTGGACAATTTATCAACAATCTGCATTATGTGGATGACACAACCCTGCTTGCTGAAACTGAAGAGGGCCTGAAGCACCTGCTGCAGAGTGTCAAGGACTGCAGCCTACAATATGGATTGAGGCTCAATGTCAAGAAGACAAAGATTCTCACCACTGGACCAATTGGCAGCATCAGGATGGATGGTGAAGAGATTGAGGTTGTATACAGCTTTAGTTTGCTTGGCTCCATAGTCAACAGTCTTGGCACCAGCAGCCAGGAAATTAAAAGGCGCATTGCCATGGGGAAATTCTGCTGTTAGAGACCTCTCCAAAGTACTGAAGAGCAATGGTGTCTCTCTGGAGACTAAGGTGCGTCTGATACAGGCCATGGTCTTCACAATCACTTGTTATGCATCAGAGAGTTGGACAATGATGAAGGAGGATAGGAGAATTGATGCCTTTGAGCTGTGGTGCTGGAGAAGAGTATTGAGAATACCATGGACTGCTAGGAAAACAAACAGATTTGTCCTGGAAAGGGTTAAACCGGGTGGCTCCTTGGAGGCAAGGATTCTGAGGCTCCGTCTAACATACTTTGGACATGTTGTGAGGAGAGACCGGTCCTTGGAGAGAGACATCATGCTTGGGAGGGTGGAGGGACAGCGCAGGAGAGGAAGGCCCTCTATGAGGTGGATTGATTCAGTGACTGGGGTAATCGGGATGGGAGTGTCAGAGACAGTGCGATTGGCACAGGACAGAGCGGAGTTTAGGGCTGTTGTACATAATAGGGTCGCTATGAGTCGCAAGTGACTCAACAACAACAACAGAAGCTTTGAGCATTCAAAGGTCTTCTGAAAGCTCTTTGTAAATAAGCGTTATTCTTAGAGAGAGCTGACTGTCGCTCTACCATCCATCCATAGTCATAGAATTTCAGGACTATTGGTCGTCCAAAGAATGAAGTCATGTGCTTTTTCATGCTCTTGGATCACATCTCAAACATTTGTAATCGTAATCAACCATCTTTTTTTTTAAAAATTTTTTTGTAATCAACCATCTTGAGCAACTCAAGTTCCTATT